TTGCAGACTGAGGAAGTTGACTCTATTCCATTTTCACAAGACTCCTCTCTGGGGTCCTCAGTACAAGAAAGCCATGGACCTGCCAGAGCAGATCCAGAGGAGGGCATGAAGATGATCATAGGGATCAGCACCTCTCCTATAAGGACAGGCTGAGAGTTGGGGTTGCTCAGCCTGGAGAAGAGAAGGCCCTGGGGAGGAGACCTTACAATACTTTACAGGGGCTTATAGGAAAGATGGAAAAAACATTCAACCAGGCCCTGTAGTGACCAGACAAGGGGCAGTCATTTTAAACTGAAAGTTGGTAGGTTTAGATTAGATATAAGGAAAATATTCATTACCACGAGGGTGGTGTGGCACTGGCACAGATTATCCAGAGAAGCTGTGGATGCCCAGTTCCTGGAAGCGTTCCAGGCCAGACTGGATGGAGCTTTGAGCAACCTGGTCCAGTGGAAAGTGTCCCTACCTATGGCAGGGAGGTTAGAACTACATGGTCTTTGATGATCTCTTCCAACCCAAACCATTCTATAATTCCAAGATGTAGAATGTTTGGGCTGGAGAAAGCCAGAACCAGAGAGGCAAGCAGGGAGGGTTACAATTTAGGCTGTCACACTTACAAACATGGTTGGCCCATATTGGAATGCACTGGGAACACCAGGCACACCAGCATAGTAAGGGAGCCCAGTGTAGCTGTACCCCGGGGGCAGGGTGGGGTTGAGGAAGGGCTGCTGAGTCGTGTGGTGAGTCTGTGTCTGGTTCTGCTGTGGCTGGGCCAGCGTGGTGGCCGGAGCAGGAGAGGCGGAATCCCCACGTCCAAATTTCGTTACATCACCTGCGAAAGAACGAACTGATCAGAAAAGCTACCAGAGCTACTCCAAAGATGGGGAATTCAATCAATTAAAATCCTCTGAATGCAAGCAGACAACTATAGAAGAGAGCACACCCTACACCTGAAAGCCTGCAGTTGTTCATGGTAAGCCCTCTCCCAGTCTCTGTTCCTGACAGCCACAGGGATTATTGCCTGTTCATGGCACAAGAACTCTGTGCCATGAATAATCCATTGATAAAATGGAGATACCGATACTCACCTATCTCACATGGTCTGAGCAGATTCATTACTATCAGATCATTGCAATAAAATATGCTAAAAGCAGAAGTATGGTAAATAGCCAAAGAGCCAATGGTTGTCAGGTTAAAGTGTCACTCTTCTGGAGGTTAAACTGATTAGCTAAGCTTCATGGGCTGAAAGCAAGTTAGAATTTACAGGCAGTGATGGGTATATTTTTGCCAATGTCTGTTTATTTGTCAAGCATGACTAATTAAGATGTCCAGTTCCTCACACCACCAAAGTTCTGAAGACAGTAGCTGAAGGCCAGGAAAGCAAGGCTTGCATCGTGGGCCACCTTATTGGAGAAGTAGGAAGGGAAATTCAGTTATTAACCCAAAAGCAGCCTCCCAGGAGAAGGGATTATGAAGCAGAAAACTCCCAAACACCTGAATGTTCTGGTAGCCTACAAAGCAGCATGTTTATATGTTTTTTTAAGGAGGTGATATACATCAGTCACATCTACCTTATCCCCAACAAGTTTTTCTTTTTGTTGGTTACCAGGAAGTATGACAACACTTAATACCTTCACTACAGGAACTACAACGCCCATGGCTACAGTTTTAAGCTGTAATCAGATGGCAGTAGATGAAAACCACTGCTGAAAACTCTGGATAGCATTAATGTCATCTTTGCACAATGATGACTAAAGAGAAAGAGCAGGAGTGAAGAAGAGCTTCTTCAATCACATGCTTACAGAAGGGAAGAACAATTCCTCTTCCAGCAACAGCAGGATGACCTGCACATAGAAACCAGAACATTTTGCTTACCACCCTCATCTTTAAAGAGCACTCACCTGAGTACGGGTTGTTAGCAAGGCTCCCATCTCTGCCTGTCAAGGTTGCAGGAGCAGGGAATGTAATTCCATAGTAATCCTTGGAAAGAGACGACATCATTTATTAATAGTTGAAACTGTAACAGAGCTGAACAGCTCTTATAAACCCCATATGATATGCAGAAGAAAATTTTGAAAGCAAGAACTAAAAGAAGTTTGGGTAGAATTTGACCTTATGCCTTGCAGCAGAGATGAAAATTTACCTGGATCCTCAAGTTAAAAATAGACCTACTTTACAGACATTTAAAATATTAAAGGCAGTAACTAAACAATTTCCCTCCCAGCTGTCATCTTCCTGTGAGACTGTGCCTAGAACAGAACCAGGGACAAAGTCACAATGTGGATGTATGTAGTCTAAAGGTTTTGCCCTTGTACCATGCCCTGTTTTCTAAAAGTGGAAATGTCAGCCAGTGAAACAGCAAAAACATAAAAGGAGAAAAATAGTTACTATTGGATGACTGGAAAATTTATTTAAACTACATTACAGGAGACCTTGAGTCAGTAGTCTCTGAAGTGGGGCAGGCATGACAATCCATTGGGGTGCATGAAGAAAATGGGTTTGGCACCATTCATAAATACAACTTACAGAATTTTAAAATAGTGTTTGTTTAACCTTCTTCTCCTTTTCCAATTTTTTTTTTATGTTTTATACATGTTAGTACAGGAATATATGTATATAGTATAATTCAGAAATAAAAATATATTGTGAGTGCTCACAAATTTTTTACTGATGGGGTGCATGATAAAAAAGGTGGAGACCTCTGCCTTGGATCAGTCTTCCAGGTCCTCTACAGGAAAATAAACAGTCCTCACCCTAGAAGGCTTGCACTCTGAGATGACAGGACATGACAGCAAAACCAAAGCAGCATTTGGACTTCAGTTTGAGAGAAAAAGCAACAAGTTTGCCCTTCTCTCTCTGGATGAACTCCACCTGTGGGCCTGGCACTCTACTGTTTTTCCTCCTAATTTTCCTGTTTCACTACTCACCACCTCCAATCCATCAAGAGTTAATGCTTTAGCCAGTAACTATTTAGCCAGTATCTATTTTCACGCATTCTCAAGCACTGGAAAAGCATCCTCGTTTGTCATACCCCTCTCTGCAAATTCCATAGCACCTCAAATGCTTTCTGAGTTGCCACCACCTTGGTGCATTTCTGTGCATCACTCCCCTGTCTCCTGTACCCAATCCTCTATCACTGAACGTGAAATATGTGGCAAAGTTTCAGTATTGGTGCTTTCTGTAACTTGAAATGGTGCCATTATTTCATCATCCTTTCCTTCCCAAGTAATTCCCCTTTATCAACTCCAGCATGAATCACTTGACAGAACATAACCAAATTCACATTAAAAGTCTTAGCAGGTTATTTAAAAGCAGCTCGCCTATCACCTTCTGACGAAAATGCCACAAAAAGAAGATTTAGAGGAGAGATGTCAACAATTCAGTGGGTATGAACTGGAACTGACATACTAGCATTTTCTCCTATACAAACTGGACAAAATATAATTAAATCCACATGAGAACAGAGTGTAAGAATTGCAAGTATTCCCACTGCGCCTCAGGCAGGGGAAAACCACATCAGTGCTGAATATCCCTACCCCACACACCTGTGCATAAACACACTCAAACCAAACAGTCATGAGAAAATACGAGTGCAAGGCAGTTATCTTTGCAGTTCATGCCTGCCCAAAAGAAAGTATTAGAAGAGACACTCTGCTCTCCACACCACAGATATCTCCTGACCTACAGAAGGCAATCAGGAAAAGCTGTCTGAAGTCAAAACTGAAATACCAGGAATAGGCTCGAAAAGCGAGATAGAAAAGGATGGAAAAAGAGTAAGTGATGAGACATAATAGATTTAAACTCCATCAAGCAGCTCACTGGGTACCACACACACCAGCTGAGGCATCTGTAAAATCTCTGCAACAGATGAACAGAAAAGACAGCCTACAGAAAACACTGTAACACAGAACTAAAGGACCCAACAACAAAAAAATCCACAGTGAGAATTTACAGCGCCAGTATGCACATTACGTAATTGAGTTATCTTTAGAAAAGAACTTCAGGAGAAACTCCCATTCTTGCTGTATGAGCAGCCACCAGGATATCTTGCTGCTGGAAGTTGCCCAGGAAGCAGCAATGACTTCCACTTGGAACTTTGCCCACTTTCACTTTCTAGATGTAAGCGGACTGCCACATGAAATACAAACATTTCTGCCTGCTCCTGCCCCCCCCCATCATTTTCACAGCAAATTCAAAACACAACAAACCCCCCAAAATCTAGAAAACACAACCATTGCATGAATAGCTGACGAAAAATCCTTTGTGACATATATACATTTATTTCTAACTATGAACATACCTAAGATAAATAACTCAGGGTGCAGGGGGTATGAGAGATACCCCCCAAAATATTCTGCAAGATATTTGCAGAGAGAGTAAAAACTCCTCCATCAGCAAAGTTGCAGAAGACACAGAAGAAATAAAAAATATTAACACATACATATTAAAAAAAAAATTAAAGAATGCTGAGAGACTAACAATATTTGTCAATAAGAAATACAGGAAAACATCCATTAACATGCAAAACAAGCATTATATAAAAATAATATCATAGCATAAAATAAGAAAAAATAGCTGCTGCCAGGCAGAGAAATTTTAAAATAAAACCCAAAAGATAGCACACAAAACAGATGAAAAGGAAACCCTGAAACCCAACCCCAGCACGGCCACCCAGAAAACTTTTTCTGCCACACTTTCATCTCCTGCTGCACCATAACAGGACAGACAGGAGCTCCACAGTAGCAGCCCTGGGAAAAAACCAGTTCCACTTCCCACAGAGGGCCATCTCCTGGTCGCACTGTACAAGCACAACAGAAGCCCTCAGGAGGAAGCAAACAGAAAGCAAAAATGAAAACGAAGGAAGGGAAATTCTGCCTAGATGATGGTGATGATGAAAGGAAAGCCAGGGCACTACAAAAAGCTGCACACTGGCAGCACCCTAAGCACAGCAACCACCACCACCGAGCCAGACCAGGCTCCTGCACAGCACCCACGGCTCTACCATGGCTGTACCTGGATCCCAACAGCCCTGCCTGCGGAATGGCACCCTGGCACTTCTGCTCCTGCTCACCACTCTCACCTCCGGGCTTCCCTGTCACCACCTGCAGACCCTCGACAACGCTTTCCCCTGGGAACAACTCCAGCTCCTCGACCACATGGCTCCCAACTCAACGCACACCTGTCAACTCCACAACCCGCCCTTCTTCCCCGACACCCTCCGCCGCAACAACCTCCACCCGCAACAAGCCGCCGCCGCCGCCCTACGCATCCTACAACACCTCTTCCACACCCTCAGCGCCAACAGCACCTCCCAGCACTGGCACACCCACACACGACACCGCCTCCTCAACCAACTCCAGCACCACATCCACCGCCTCGAGCAATGCCGCCCCGACAACGCACGCCTCTTCAAAGGACCCCGCAACCTCGTGTTCACCATGAAAAGGTACTTCAGGGACATCCACCTCTTTCTCCACGCCCACAACCACAGCGCCTGTGCCTGGGAGCACATCCGCCTTGAAGCTATTACCTGCTTCCAACACGTGGACACACTCCTACGGCGAATGAAGCATCAAGGTGCTCTGGACCTCACTAAACCCACGGACAGCCAACGCCCATCCCCAGTCAGTGCCAGTGCCCACGGATGGGGAGATGGCAGCAGCAGCCCAGGCTGGGATCACTCGGCACCGCTCACGCCGCCTCCAGCCACAATGCTGAGCTGATGGGGAAATGGGTATGACCGTGGCGACACTGGGGCCAGGCTGTGGCACAGCCCACAGACCCAAACCACGGCCACTGGAAAGGAATGGGGAGGAAGTTTCTGTGCTGCACAGAATGGACAGCTGGGAGGCACTGGCGATACACACAGTACTTATTACTCATGGAATTTCCAGTCCATCCAGACTACAACCTCAACTGATGATGCAGTATGGGACCATGGACACTTTGGGGATACTTTGGGACTCTCATGCCAATCACTATTTATCACAGAACTGTTTTTTATTTATTTAATTGATTTAATTATTATTTATTTATTTATTTGGCTAGCCACTAACTTATCAATTCACTCACTTGTTAGAAATAAAGACTTTTTGTAAAAAGAGAAAGAAAAAGCAAACCTGTGGTCATCTTGTTCATACCTGACAGGTAAAGACACAGTCTTCTAGGCAGGCAAGGATGAGTTTCCCTCCTGCATCCTGTCTCACTGATCCCAGTGCCTCATGCCCAGGTCAAAGGCTACGGATAGCAGGCCACTTTCAGGGACCCACTGTGGTCCTGAAAGCCCACAAGGCATCTCCTACTGATGCCAGACCCTTGGAGCACCCATTTGTCCAGATGACACACTTCCTCCTCTTCTGCCACCCTTCCAGACCCTCTCACAACACCAAGACATGAAAGTCACCTCCAAACCATCATCCCACCACAAATACCCATTCAGCACTGCTTTGGAACAAGCAAGGTGATAGAGACAAGGTGCATCTCAAAGAATCAAGGAGAGGACCTACTAAGGTCTGTAGAGATTTGGACATGAAACAGCAGCCCAGTGCTACCAACGCCCCCCAAGAAACACAAAAAAGACACAGAATCCACAGGTGATGCCCAAGACCACTCACTGCTCTCCTACAGCCACCACAACTGGTCCAGGATGCTCCCAAATGTGCCTACAGACCAGTGGCCATGGAAACCTGCACTACACAGAGGACATTGTCCTTGTCCTTCACCCCAACACATCCTCAGTAAACAGTAAGATACATCCCCCAATCACCACCACCCAACGCGGTCCTACCCAACCAGCACATCCAGCACAGCATTCCCCATGAAGGAAACCGCCCGTACACCACCAGCACCTGCTGCTTCTTCACCCTCCAACCCATCACCCCAAAAATATCTGCCCCAGCTGGTTTGCCCTCCCTGGGGAAGCCCAAGCAATGTCAGCAGCTCTGGCCTCCTCCTGCACGGGATGAAGAGGTCGTTTGCAAACACAAACGATCACTTCCCATCTAGCTGGAGAGTGACAAAAAAGAGGGACCAAATATAGAATAACAGAATCTCTAAGGTTGGAAAAGACCTATAAGATCAAATAAGATCAAATCCAACCTTTGACCAAATGCCAATATACCCACTATACAATGAAGCCTGTTCCAACGCCTGACCACTCCTTCAGTGAAGGATTTTTAACTAACACCCAACCTGAATCTCCCCTGGCACAACTTGAGGCTATTTTCCTTTCCTATCACTGGTTGCCTGGGAGAAAAGGCCCCTCTGCCCCCAGCCTGGAGCACTGCAGGGGGTTGTTGTGACCCAAGGGCACTTGGCCTTGCTGAACCTCACACAACTGGCCTCAGCCATCGATCCAACCTGTCCAGATCCCTCTGCAGAGCCCTCCTGCCTTCCAGCAGATCAACACTCTCAACCCAGCTTGGTCCTCAAATCAATGGAGGGTGCTCTTGATCTCCTTGTCCAGATCATCAGTAAAGGCATTAAACAGGGATGACCCAGTAGTGAGCCCTGGGGAACACCACTAGTGACTGGCCCCAGCTGGATGTAATTCCATGCACCAGCACTCTCTGGGCATGGCCATTAGCCAGTTTTTTAGCCAGGGAACAGAGTATCCATCCAAGCCAGGAGCAACCAGTTTCTCCAGGAGAATTCTATGCAAAATGGTGTCAAAGGCTTTACTATAAACGGCCAGGAAGTCAACATCCACAGCCTTTCCCTCATCCACTGAGCAGGTCACTTAGTCATAGAAGGAGATCAAGTTGGTGAAGCAGGACTTGCCTTTCCTAAACCCCTGCTGGCTGGGCCTGATCCCCTGGTTCTCCTGTACATGCTGTGTGATGGCACTCAGAATGATCTCTCCATGACCTTCCCCAGCACCGAGGTCAGACTGACAGACCTGTAGTTCCTGGGATCCTACTTCTGACTGTAGGTGAGCATTACACTGGCCAAGCTCCAGTCATCTGGAACCCCCCTGGTTATCCAGGACTGCTGGTAAGTGATGGGGAGTGGCTCGGTGAGCTCTTACACCAGCTCTCTTATACATTCAGGTACAGTGCAGGACCCCTCAAGATGAAACTTCCACGCTGTACTAATGTCCTCCTGATGTTCCTCCTAACCAGAAACACCCTGTAATGCCAGGCATGGGGACCTCATTGGTTCTGTCTTCTCTGAGGTGGCTGAAGGAGCTAAAACCTCCTCAGGTATAAAAACAGGAGGAGTAGTAATGACACAAGCTGGAATAAAGGGAATTCAAACATGAAGGAACAAATGCATTAATATTATTTTTTAACGTGAAGGTGATACAACACCATAAGGGGGATCAGGAAGGTTAAATGATGTCCATTCCTGGAGATACATCTAAAAGCATCACTGGACAAGGCCATCACCAACCTCCTCTGATACCACCTCCTTTCAGCATCACAGCGCACTTGAGATACCCAGAGAAAAAAGACCACTAAAAAACAATTGAAAAAGTGGAAAGGAAATTATGAACAATCAGTGATTAAAAAAAAAAAGAGAGAGAAACCGAGAACTTTCAGTAGTATGAGGGCATAAGACACACACATATTTTCACCAGGTAAACACTGGAAATTGCAAATTGCTTGTAAAGGACCTTTCCCTCAGCAGAGCATAATGAGACAGTGGTCATGAAAAGTTCCTCAATTGGCACAAAGCCAAAAACAATTCCAACACAAAAATATCTCTGCCTCCTTCTCTGTTCAAAAGCAGCAGTTTAGAGAAGACTTCTTATCCCCCATCACAACAAGGTTCAAACCACAAAAGGGAAGCAAAGAGACTGCAGAAGCTTTACCAAAAAACATTCAGCCCTCAGGTGTTTAGACCCAGAGCCATCTCCTTGAACGTCCTGAGAAATAAACTATTTTACAGCTCTCCCAAAATGTACAAAGAAACGATGTATTGTTATGAATATAAAGATGAATACAAAGAATGCCTCACTTCGAGTAAAAAACCAAAAAGACAGTTAATGGAGAGTTACAAAAGGACTTGAAGAGTGTTGTGGGCAAAATGGAAGCTTCGGATAACATTTACCAAGGAAGCCCTTCTACTGAGTGGTAAGGTTTGGAAAGGACCCCCTTGCTTTCTAAATTCCCTCTAAGAGAAGAGAGTCTGGGAGCGGCTTTATCCAATCCTAGTCTCAGACTTAGTCAAGGTTTGTGTCTGAAGAATTACACAGGTGTAAGTGAGCCTTTATATGACTTGGTCCCACAGGATCAGAGACATGTTTGTATAGGAAATACGTTGCTCAGGAAAAAAAATGAATAAAATTATTATTGATAATGATTGGACTTAAGAACTTTAATCAGAATTATCTATTACACATTACAGGTAGTTGTAATTATTTATATAGTACACTATTGACCAAATCAATCTTTTCAAAGCCATCTTAAAAATAACTAGAGAATGATGTAACTCATGCAGAGACCATGGGCAAAGCCTTTTCCTCAGCCTCCAGGAGTAATGTAGAGGGGTATCCCCACTCAAGGGAGGAATCTCCATGTCCGCTACTAGAAGGGCGGTGTTGGAAATCCCTGGAGTTAAAATGTGCAAATAAGACTTTATACTATAAAGTAAATGACCATAATGCATTTATTGCAGGAAAAGTTCAAAAAGCTCAAAAGCTTCAGGTAACTTATCAGTTACCTAAAGCTTCCGGGCTTCTGTTTAAGAATTTTGTTTGCACATATACACCAGTGCAATTCCCAGCAAATACTATTTTAAAAACCCTTGGAATGTTTAACGTTGGGACTGTTGGAAGAGGCTGGTTTAAGCATTCTTAAAAAAAGGAAACTAGGAAAATTCCCTGTCCTCGACAACCAAAGAACCTGGCAGGAAGGGTAAAGTCCAAGCTGCTTTACCACACAATAAGCAGACAGTCCATCTAGAGGCAAGAAGAGAAATTCAGCGAAACACGAAAGTAATAAGAGTTCAGCCAGAGAGAAAAGGGAAACCACAAAAAAACCACAACACCACGAAAAGAGAAGCATGTGCCAAAACCAAGACGGTTTCATACCCAAC